ACGTTCTCAGCCTAGCTAACTATCAGACTGTCTGTGATTCGCTAGCGCGGAAAAAAATTATGTACGTGGCTTCCGGGCGATAATTGACGTAACGACAACATGCTGAATGTTCTCGCTTAATCATAATTATGGCCTAGTTTGTTTGAAGTTCAATCGATTCTCGATGTAGGAAGCTCTTGTTCAGTCCATTTAGGACAATGCAGGCCTTTAGTAAGCTATAGTTAAGCTCTCCGCCGCAGTTTTGATATCTGTACGTTTGTGTTGATTTAGACTCGAATTCTTCATGTGGGAAGCTGTCTTAATTAAATTGTACAATTCGTGATTCAATGAAAAAAGGTAAATTTAGTCTTCCTGGCCTCAAAAGTCATATAGGAGAGTTATTTCCTTTTATGTGAGTCACGATAAGCCTTGTGGAAAGCTAGCTCTTGCACAGAATTATATAAAGATTGTCAGTTACAAGTCAAATTCTGTGGCTATGTATTTGCGAATCCAGACAGATATATACATGCAAAAATACTCAGCAAGCTGATTGGCTGAGAGCTCGTCAATTAATCTTGGCCAATGCAGAAAGTCGAAATTGAGTGCAGGAAGTTTAAATTGAGTGCAGAAAGTTGAAATTAAATGGCTTTTATATTATTAACAAGTGATCAAGTGATTTTCCTCTTGCAATTTAGAATAACTAAGCACTCGCAATGTTTCAAAAACTACAATTAATCTTTTGAAAAATTTCTTGTACTTATCAAATCTAAATTGCGCTCGAAATCATTTTATTGCCTAAGCAATAACGTTCATGGAATTTCCACTATGTCTAGGTTTATAGCCTGCAAAAGGTCTTAGATAAACTTTGCAATAGTAAATGTATGGTAAGACACCATGGTAAGACACTCCACCTTCTACTTGGAGGTGGAGTGCATTCTGCCTTTAAGTTGTAGCTCATCCGCACAGATCTACCCGACGTGACTGACCCAAAAGAACAAGATGGTTTTAGAGTGCTAAACTGAATTCAACAAGAACCCAAGTTTGAGTATATGGGATCGAGCAATATTTTGAACAAACTTTAACAAATTACGTGCACGGTTATATATCTACCCAGATCTAACCGACGTGACCAACTCTAAACCACAAAATCAATGCAAAACTTCAAGTGAATTCAACGCTGAGAAACCCAGTTTGAGTATATGGAACCGAGCAATGTTTTGAATAAATGTTAGGAAATCACTTGCACGCTTATTTACACAGACCTATCCGACGTGACCGACTCTAAACCACAGGATGTGTTTACAATGCTATTATACTTTAATGAATTCAGCGAGAACCTAAGTTTGAGTATATAAGGGACCTAACAATATTTTGCACATGCTTAAGGAAATCACGTACAAGGGAGCTTATCTACACAGATCTAACCGACGTGACAGACTCTAGACCACAAAACTGGATTTACAATGCTAAACTTCAAATGAATTCAATGAGCTGAGCACATCAGTTATGGGAGTGAGTAATATTTGGAACAAACTTAATAAATCCACGGGAGTCAGCCAGCATTTTTAAGCGCCATTTACAAAATTTTCTAAGACTGTCTTATCAAACACTGTCGAACAGTCTATAAGACATTACCTTTCTTTGTTTACTTAAATCAAAAAACGCCGTGAAATTTTCAGAGGAATTTCACTTGTTTCTAGGCGGCTGATAAGACAATAAGTGCGCAGAAGGATGAGTGGAAATATCTAGACAGAACCTTGAGTTTTCTCAAACTGTCACAACTTTATCTAAAACTCTTTACAAACACCAACAGAAGACGATTGCCCTCTTTTATTATTGTTTCTTAAGTTTTTACTCTAGGTTGTTCGTATCATTTAGAATGTCTTTTGGATTGACCAAAACTCTTCACCAAGTAGCGCATTTTATTTGATTATTTTTACTTGCTTTGATGATACCGAACACAAATTGTATCAGTAACCAACATCGTCGACTTCCTCCATCACATTAATGTTATTTGCACGTACGTGAAAATACATGAAGGTTGATATTAGTGAGGCTCTCTGATACCTCTGAGAAGAACCAATATCTGGAAATGAGGTCATCAAAGTAAGGTGAACAAAGAATAGTAAGTTACACAGCTATCGGATTTATACTAAAAATGAATTCAATTCAATTTCGATGAAAGACAAATTTTCGTCTAAGACACTGAACGGCGTTCAAGTGGGACCGGCGACAATTTGCGAACACGAGATGTCGTCGTGATGGAAATGATTGACATCTGTCAGTAAAAGAATATTTCATTTCCTAAAACAAGGTATACAATGTCTGCTTGTCTCTCTATATATCACGATTTAGTTCATAAACATCAGTAGTTTGTATTTAAGGCATCGAGAATTGTGATTAAAATATCTCGTGCATCTGAAAGCGAGGAGATCCTCTACAAAATGGTCCACCCAGGTTTGTTGTTTCACCTGTCAAACTTAAACAATCTTATTCTTGTACCTGTTCAGTACACTTGTAATATTTTTTATTCCGTTTTGCTGCCTTGGAATAGCAATTAGCCCTACCGAGTGTTTAAATAGTTGTGTCTTTGAGGGCGTGTCCCTTGTACCTTTCATTCGGACGAGTGAAACATTCTATTTATTGTGCTGTTCTTCTAACGAGTGGTTGATAATAACACTCAAAACATAATATAACGTACGGCAAGGTAGTACCTCTCAAAAGCGGAATTCACTTCGCCAAGGAAGGTTTGAACCACAACCTAACACCTAGTTGAATTCTTGGGAATCAAAACATGTTATACACTAAACAACGCTTAGAGGGATATCACTGTTCTCTGAGTCCAGCTCAGAGTATTTAATTTCTTAGTTAAGAGAGTTGTGTTGATTTAAAACTTACAATAGAGTGTGGCGTGGGGTGTAGTTTGTGTACGTGACATTTAAATATTCTGAAGTGCCATAACGATAATGTTTTTTTTTTTTTTTTTTTTGNATTTTTTTTTTTTTTTTTTTTTCAGTGTAATATATTGTTCTTCAAGGCTCTTGTCTCCAAAACCTTTGTGTAATATTACTCCATCTTTTAGTTTAGCATTGTAAACCCAAGTTACATTTTTAGAACCGCGCAAGGACGGATAGGTTATAGCTTGTCAGTGTTTTTTGATTGGCTTGACTTGAGTTTCTTTAATACAAATAACTAGCGTTTCGGAGAATGAGGCTCTTACTGATCTAAAGAAAAGAAGACAGTCTGAAAACAAATTAAGCATAAGCCATAGTCCCAAATCCCACGGGCAGCGTGGATGATTCTACTGTCAGTATTCCTTATATTGGCATCATTTTTTTTTCTTGAGTTAGTATGTATTTGTGTACCTACAAATGCCGAGATACTATATAATTCTCAAGTTTGTTTTCTTTGTTGTGACTGTACAATCAATAAAAATTATTAAAATACCCAAAAAATAATAATTAAAAATTATCATGAAATTCTGTGTAACAGTGTATTGTGTATCAATCCAGACTCTGGTTGTCTGATGAATGAAAACGATAGCTTTTTACCAGACACATCATTACCTAGTGAAAAGCCTACGATCTGTTTTTTTTTTTTTACATTGGATAGCGATTTAAATGGTGAATAGCTTTATCTATCCTTGAGTGTCTGCTACTCTTCTGCTGACGAGGTGTCTCTATTTTTCAGTGCTACCAAGAGAACAATCTTATTTGACTGTTGTCAATACACCGTAACAGCTTCATCATGCAACTTTGCCTTGCTATTTTGCTGATTGTGGCCGCTATTTGCCATGGAAAATCGGTAATGTTGCTCTTAACTAATTTTTGACCAATGTCCTTGACATTCGCTTTGCATTTCAAATTCTACTAATTTATGTTCGCGATTTTTTTGTCTCGAAAGACTAACAACATCCCCGAGAATGATTCGGAACAAATGGACGTGGCATTAAACGAGGATCCTCCCTGTAAAGTAAGACGTTTATTTTTGTTATTTCAAGGCATATAGAAGTTCTAAAGGTGGGCTACTGTCACACGAACACACCTGATACCTTGAAATCGAGAATAACTTTAACTTCATGCTATTGGGTAAATGGCGGACTTATGTTACCGCTTCGTCTCAATTGGTAGATATAGGTGTGTACTGTAATGCGGGTGAAGGGGAGTCTAACGTTCGGTATGAACGTGTTAGCGTGAAATGTCTGCAAGCCTAGTAATGTGTTTGCGCTGATTGCAGGGTAATTTGTGTGCAGAAGACACATCCTAAAGAACAAACCACGATCTTGCGTCGATCATCTTAGGAATGGCGCCAAACGCAGTGGCTACTAAGGATTTACGATGCTGTTGGAAATGGATTCACTGTGTACTGTGATATGGAGACTGAGCCTGGTGCAGCATGGACTCTTGTAGTATCTTGGAGCCTTGAAAATAAGGGTTTCTCGAACTTTAGGTACAGTTATCGCTCTCGTTCCGTTACAGAAGTTTCGAAATGAGCAATGGGCAGGAAACTTAGCCCAAGATTATTCTTCCTGCATCCGAGAGAAGGTGACCCGCTTTGATTCTCAGAAAATATAAGAGCTGTTGTAATGAAAATTGTATGCATGACCAGCAAAAGGCGCCTGCCACGTGTAAATCATGATGTCATACCTCCCAAATTGCGTCATACGTTGAAAAAAAATCCACTGAATCTAAAAAAATTGAGCGAAAAACATTATTGATAAAATTTAAATTAGCTGTACAAGATGGCAGTGAGAGATGCGTCTTGTAAGACGACTTTATCGCTGGATTAAATTAGGATAATTAATAAAGATACTAATGTGCTACATTAATTACACGTGAGATAGGTACGAAAGTGAACTCTGCATGAGAAAACAAAAATTGTTACAGCTGACTGGTGAATAACTCCAACTTTGAGTTATTTCTGTCGGTTTTATCTTGCTGCACAAACAATTTGTATTAACATTTGTTTCGCGACTGCAGGACCTCCCCCTCTCAGTGAACGATCCGGTCAACAAAAACTCGCCTAACTGGCTCCTTTATCGACAGACCTCTGACCAAATGAAGTCCTTAAAAGACGCATCGACCCACTGGCGGGCGACATGCAGTTTTGACAAACACGGGATCAACCATTACAAAGATTACGTCCGTGGACGGTTTTCGGAGGCTGATATCCTCGATTTCCTAGGTAATGGTGTTTGTCTCAAGACCGAGCTTGTGAACATCCGTGGTCACATTGGAATACACAAGACAGCCAGGTTTTGGCAGGTTCCCAACACGTACTTTCTGCACATCGACAGTTACCATAAAGGTTGTCAGTTTGATCCAACTGTCGGTTCTGTGGGATATGAAGATAACTTTGGGTTCTACGGCCGTGTAAATCTCAAGTTTGCCTGTAGCGTGAATGAGGACTCTACCACTCAGTGGTGGTTCGGTGGATATTAATAATTCAGGAGCATTACGTGCATCACCTTACACTTATTAAGCTTTTTAGCATCAAACTAGTGAAAGTCGTCTTCTTTACATTTTTTTTTTTTTTTTTTTTATTTAAAATTCGTATGCATGTGCTCAAAAGTCGACACAAGAACATACCTTGATACCCTCTTCTCTTGGTGCGGAAAATAATAGGTTAGTTCAGTTTAAAATCTCATGGAAAGCAAAACAAAAATTNTTTTTTTTTTTTTTTTTTTTTTTGTACTAGAGAGAAAGTAGTCAAGTTTTCTCAAGAATGCTTAGAAAGTAAATTGTAAGACGTGAGGTTTACAAATGAAACTTCCATGTGATGGTTAACTGTGTGGTGATTTCCCTAATTTGTCTAATTTATTTATTTTATTTATTTAACATTTCTTTATACACGGTTAAAAATCATCATTATGTTAAAGAATAAATCCAAAGTTAATGCTCCTAAATAAACTTTAAAACTGCTGCAAGTGTGATGATGTCATTGTATATTTCAAAAGATTATCTTTGATGGCAATGGGATGGCAGTGAATTACAGTTCATCAAATTAGATTTTTGTGCACGATGTCTGGAAATCAAAATTATATTTCTGGTAGAATTGAGAACGGTTTGGTTTGTTTCGTTTCCTCAGAAACGAAACGGTACTGTTTTCGGTTCAGGGGTGAACTATTTACATAGGGATTTGTAATATCCAATCAGAGTCAAGTTCGTAATTGTTAATGTAAATACGGCGACAAAATTTCAGCAAAAGCTCGGTGCATCGCAGCAAAATGTGTCGTTTGCAACATTTCAGTGAAACTCCCGTTTCTCGGTATTATTTTACACAAGAAAACTGCGAACTGGACTTGACAGCGATAGTGAAAAAGAAATATATTTTCGAAGTAGAGACACCGCCACACCACGCGATTTGTCCTCCAATGCGATATTTTAAGCCGATGGAAGCAGTTAGTTTTGTTTAGTTCAACAAAGAAATGGTACTGTTTTCCGTTTCAGAGTGATTTATTGACATAGTTAGTATGAATGTTATCAGGGTAAACGCTTGTAATTCACAAGGTAAACATGCTCAGCAAAAATAACTTCTCGAAACTAAATTTTATTTCGTGACACGGAAAGAAAAGGAAATTGAAATGTCATGCAGGTAGAAATAATTGGCGACTTGAATGTTCCTAAGTCTTACTGAAACGATGTGTTCTAGATAAACGAAGATATCTGTTTCCGTGCTTGATTTAAATGTCATTACGATCACAACTACGGCGACATAATTTTGGTGAAACTATCCCGCCTCTTTTCTGTGGCTGTTTACGGGAAAAGAACACGCACTTGGTGCGTTTGGACGATACTACAGATATGATATATTGTGGAAGGTAACTAAGTCATCATATCGTAATTTTTAAAATTAACGTTGGTATATTGCAAAATAGGCACGATATGGCTTTTTTATGAGGTTTTCTTCATATCGTAGGTGTCGACATTTTCCAGATTTAGTTGAGTTTCTCGAATTTTCCGCCACAATTCCAGGTGCTTTACGTTTTTAAGCGCACTTTTAAAAATAAGAAAATTTGTATTTCGACATACCGCGGCATTTCAAGAGCTGGTTTTCATGATAACACCGATAGCGTTTGTATTTTAGCTTCATAATATTCAAGCGAAAGTGGAGGATTAATTGCACAACTGTCGTCACACATGAGGCGTCCTTTTTGAAAAGAAAAATATACAGCGTCACTGACAACGAAACGCAGAGTGCCGCATCCATTCGAATCAAGGACTGCCCGGCACAGAAATGGAAAAATTATGCGTCAAATGCTTTTGCCTCTTAGGTTTATTTAGCCTCACACACAATACTTTGAATTTCTGAAACATTTGGCGGGGCAGAGTCAAAGTGAGGTATCACGAATAAATACATTTCGAAGCGCGTTTACTGTAATAACTGATACATGTGTGGACAACTTAAATTAATTAGCCCTTTCTCTTTTACAATAGGTTCAGTACTAAACCTCACCTGGACGAAAAGCCCCAGGCTCTGGCAACTGAGCAGATCAGTGCGGTGCAAAGTGGTGCATTAGCACATATCCCCCTCACCCCAGGACTTCTCATGCACAAGTTATCAAAACCCCGGCCTTTCTCAGACTTTGAATATCTTTCCGGAAACGAAACACTATTTCTTTCTGAGAAATATAGCTTCTTGTGGTCATTATTTCTTTGCTCTCGTCTCTTTCTGAATGTCTCTCCTTTTTGAAGACAGGTAAAGCTTATTTACAGCAAGCTCGAGGCCATACTTAGCTATACTTATTAAAACATGTGTTGTCTTTGTCTTGCTATTTATCACATTTTAAGTTACACTTAAGATCGATTTTGATTGCTAAACTAATAAATCAAACCGTGAATATGCAAGATAGAAAATAGCTTGCAGGGCTATTTGATTTAATAAAAGGAATAATTAATGGTATAAATGCAATTCCCTTTCAAGAATTGCGTAGTCGATTTGTAGGCAATCTAATGGTTCCGTGCACAATTTGGAATAAATAAGCCCTAGCACATTTCTCAGAGACAAAAAATCGAACGAGCCCGTTGGACGTGTGCAATTTGAAGTCTCTGAAAAAATTATGACTGCTTATTTATTACAAATTGGGAGAAAAAAAAACTGATCATTTAATTACTAGTTAATAATATACGTGCAATTTAATTTCAACTTTCTGCACTCAATTTCAACTTTCTGCACTGCTTGAGATCGATTAGAAACGGCTCTCAGCCAATCAGCATACTCAAGATTTTTGCATGTATATTGTTATCAAGATAATTCGATAGTGTCAAAGTTAGTTTCATCTGCAGACGTTTTGAACACTGTCCATTTAACTTTTATCTGCATCATTGATTGTCCAAGAAAGCATTTCAACACTGTCTTCTGTGCTTTCCAATAGAGTTGCCGTCTAATATTCAATTGCTTCATCAGCTGCTTTTAATAAGTAAGTAAAGTAAGTAAATTTATTTCAACTCGGGTTGATGAGGTTGATTAGGCCCTTAGCAATACAGTCATGCTAATATGCCGAGAAAAATATATAAAAACATATCAAAAAAACAAAACAAAACAAAAAACAAAAACAAAAAACATACATGGTCAATTAATGACTAACATTCTAATTATATCAATAAGCAATAAACAGTCCTAAATCTTAAAATCATTACAATGAATCATAGAAAACTGTACCTCACAAATTTAGCTCCCTTACAGCATTCATAAATTCCTTAAGGATTGTCATTGAACCTAATTCGTCCGGTAAAGAATTCCACACTTTGGCACCAATAAAAGTTGTAGATTTTAAGCCAAAGTTTGTAGTTTTTATTACTTGGGACTACGAGCTTGTTGGTGCCTCTCAAGCACTTCACATTACTACGTACGACGAACAAGTCACTTATATATCCCGGTAACATACCGTTTACAGCTAAAACATTAATACTTGAAATCCACCGTGGGTTAGGTTGTCTGTCTGGGTTGGGGTGTCTGGCAATTTAAAAGAGCCAATACAGTCAGATACTTCAGTATATTGTTGTTCTGAAAGGTTCTTGGAATCCCCAGGTCCTCGATCGGAACAATATTATTCATTCTCATATAGCTTAGCATTGTAAACAAATGTTTTGGTTTAGAACCGCACACGAAGGTTCGACCCGAGCCTATCTCAATTTAGCTAGCTTCTTGGCTCCTTGCCATATAAGCAAACTAAATATGGCAGGCAATGGCCCAACATAACGCTATAAACGTCCACGGAGGAATGATACTCACGTGATTATCTGTTGGGCCTCGTTGTACCAGGTACAGGAAATTAGAGCAGATCTTTCTTAGGATAAGGCAAGCTCCTTTGAGGCAAACGTCCCTCTTCCCCGCTCCAAGAGTTGAGAACAGGACAACGAAAACGGTCCTTTGGTGAAAAGAAATTATCTCAGGCAAGTCAACATTTTCAACATAAGTTTCTTTTTGTGAAGTACGATACCGACAAACAACATAAATTTAGTGATAATATTGTAGTAATATTGGAGAATTTTCAAAATGTAAATGTTCGGCTTGGGTGGTTACGCCTTCATCCCCAGATATCGTAAATCACACAGCTCGGGACAAGCGACGTATTAGTCCTATCCACGCTTTCTTCACGATCACAGTATAACTTTCGTCCTTGGCATGAAGCATACGAGGAACAATGCCTGTTTATAAATTCGGAAACTTAAGCCATGGTGAGTAGCTTGGGGCGTTTTTGAGACGTTAATCTGATTACATTCTCAGCTGAGTTGTTTTGTTAGCTTTCGACAAAAATAGAAACATTTATTGTCAGGTTTATCCAACAGATTGGTCTGTTTATATTGGAGGTCTTCAGCAAAGGCTATGAACATGTTGAATTTGAGCTTAAAGAGCCGGCCTTGCATTAAATTAGCGCATCTGCAATATAAATATAATTTTACTATGCATAACCATATGTACTGTATATCAATTCATTTCAGTAAGAAGAAACAAAATACCTACTGTACCACTCTTCTACTAATGAAGTGTCTATTTTTCTCTCCTTACAACAGGCCAATCTGATTTGAACGTTCCAAATACACCGATAGAGTTTCATCATGCATCTGTGCCTTGCTTTTCTGTTTGTTGCCGCGATTTGTCATGGAAAACCAGTAAAAGTGCTTTTTATTTATTTACTTTTTTATTTACTCATTTATTTATTTATTTTTGCTAATTTAGCTTCACTTACTGCCAACTTCTCTTAGCCCACTATGCAGACGCTCTTTGGGGTCGTCACGCAATCTTCCTTCTTCACATTTTCTGCTGAGTCGGCATATTGCTTTAGATGTCCAATATTTTGCTTCTTATCATAACGATTGAGAGCTGTCAATAAAACAATAAAACAATGCATAGGTTTCATAACACAAAATAGATGAGTACCAAATGGTACAATTTGCTTTTCCAGCAAGGTATTACGTGTGTGAATAAGGCGACTTACGTAAAATTGAATAGGCGACAAGTTTTAACGTCATGGTGTACAAGACTAGCACTTCACCAGTCGAAATAAGGGCCATGAAAGTTGCCTAGTTCTATTTCAGTAGTACAAGCCTTGTATTTGAAATTACAATGATTTGTTTTCATAACTTTTGTCTCCCAAGACTAATATGCGCAAGGACGACCCTGGACAAAAAGACACGGCCTTGATAGAAGATTCCCCTTGCAAGGTAAGACTCAAGTCTTATTATTATTATTATTATTATTATTATTATTATTATTATTATTATTATTATTATTATTAATTATCATTATTAAGATATTCTCTTCTCGTTATCTTTTGGTGGCTCATTGAGATATGTGTTGTAGTTTTCGTCAAAGGAAACGGGAGATTCTGGAAGCAATAATTTATTAAACCGAGAAAATATGAAGGAATTTGCAACGAAAGAAAATAAACTGGCTTAAAAGATTTTTGCCTTGGTTGAAATCAAATTAATTAATCAGTCATGTTTTCTTGTTATTGCAGGGAAATTTGTGCCCAGAAAACACGACAAAATACAAAGCACGATCCTGCGTCGATCATCTAAAGAATGGCGCCAACCGCTGTGGCTACTACAAGATTTATGATGCTGCTGGAAATGGATTCACTGTGTTCTGTGATATGGAGACTGAGCCTGGTGCAGCATGGACTCTCGTCGTATCTTGGAGCCTTGAAAATAAGGATTTCTCCAGCTTTAGGTAAAATGCTCGTTCTTTCTCCGTCAGATAAGATTTCGCCAGTGTCAGTAAAGCACCGGGAGACGAGTTCCATAAGACAATTTGATCATAATGTTTAAGTTTGAACGTTAATGAAAATCGGTGAAAAAAAAAAAAAAAAAATGGGTTGCATTTCTGAGACGTGGGTAGAGGCAGTGAAATAACAGCACTCCAGATCAAAATGGCGACAAGTTATACCGACAAAACAGCGGTGACAAGGGTGTATTTAGGCTATTTAGCAGCGGAATCTAGAGTATCATTATGAATATATATTTAATGAAAAGATAGTTTGATGTTGCCTTTCCATGATTTCCATTTGAGTTTTTTTTCCTCGACTATAGGAAGACACCTCTGTCAATTAACGATCCGGTAAACGAAAACTCGCCCAATTGGTTTCTTTACCGACTGACAGCTGACCAAATGAAGTCGTTAAAAGCCGTATCAACCCACTGGCGAGCCACGTGCAGTTTTGACAAACACGGTATCAACCATTACGAAGACTACGTACGTGGGCAGTTTGCGGAGGCTGATATTCTCGCTTTCCTCGGTTCAGGTGTCTGTCTCAAGACCGAACTTGTGAACATCCGTGGTCACATTGGAATACACAAGACAGCCAGATTTTGGCAGGTTGTCGGCACGTACTTTCTGCACATCGACAGCGCCAGTAAGGGTTGCCAGTTTGATCCAACCGTTAGCTCCGTGTCAAGTGAAGATAACTTTGGGTTTTACGACCGCACAAATCCCAAGTTTACCTGTACCACGAATGAGGACTCCACCACTCAGTGGTGGTTTGGTGGATATCAATAATTCACTGAACTCTGCCCCTAAACGTACCCAGCATCAGTCCTGCGTGGTTTAATTTTCTTCC